TTTCTTTCTATAACTTGGATTATGTTTACTGACAACAGTATCAATTTTGCACAAAATACTCTGTTATCTATTATCATTAGTAGTAACAATTAAGGAATGTATGATTTATGAATTTAACTATTGCTATAATTTATTTTAATAATTATCTACAATAGTTTCCTCTGGTTTTTCATATTCAGGATAAAGTTATGATCAATCTTTGTTGGGATACCTACATACTCAAAGGATTGTATCTGTATTAGTTTAATTTGTAAGATCATCAGTATAATTTAACTCGGAATATAATCATGAATATCTAGTCCTATTCGGAACATATTAAATGAGTGTACATAAAAAACAAAAACCTGTCCTGAACATCAGCCATCAGGTTATGCAAAATCGTATATGGACACACTTGCTGATGAAGTAAGTGGCCTTCGTGACTAATTAACTTATTGGAAATGTTTTTGACATCTGAGGTGATAGGTAGTAAGTTTGAGTCTCATTGTGAACATTGTCGCTGAAATGCGGGTACATTCAGCCAATGAGTCACAAATAGTTTCAGATGGAAGTCCTGAATTGGAATGCTAGCTACAATCCAAGAAAATTTACATCTTTATCTATGACTTAGATGAGATTAACAAAACTACAATTTTTGACTAATTCTAGACAATTTAACTAGTCCAGGATAGATTTTCCCAAAGTCGCCGAATTTAGAATCATCGATGTACATTTCATTCTATTTCAGAGTCGTTAACTGATTATATTTGCTTTCTGTTATTATGCAAATTTCAAAATAACGTCACCTAAAAAAAACCTGGTAATCCCTAAAATATAAAGCCAAGTTTATTTAAGTTGATGTTGAATATCTATTAAACATACTGAATGACTATAGAGTTATTTGTTGAATTTAAAAACTTGCTCAATTCTATTTATTTTCAGTCTTTGGGAAATTGATAATCTCTGCGAGATTTGAATCTGCTCCGCCAATCTTCATATTCACAGAAGGTACTTAGACATACAAAAACGTACTCGAATTTAATAAATGTATCTTTCTAATTCACTACTATTTTATGAGTAACGTTCCAAAATACCAGTATAGGGTTGTGGGGATTGTTGAGTTTCAATAGATAACATGAATGGATGAATGTTAGACCGCCAATGGAAACCTGGGAGCACTGGACAGCGGTTTCGTCCTGGTATGGGACTCCTCAGCAGCGCACACCCAAAATCCGACACGAAGGACTCGAACCCAGAACCTCGAGGGTTGGCGCTTAACTTTTAGACCACTAAGCCGGTATCCAACGGTGTTAATGTCTAACTTCAAACCAATCCACGATATTGCGCGACCGTCTACCATTGTGTTCAATGAGTAACTATCTCACAACAGACACGATTGAACTCCACTACCCTATACTGATAATTATTATGTGCTCACTAGTGACTGGCTTCAAGTTGTTTTCTGGAGTTCTAGTTAAAAGCCGTGATCAGTAGTATTTATTTTTTGTCAACATTTGCAGCACAATTTATACTCTTAATAAGGTAACTGAATTGAATCCCTAATCTAACTTGTCGTACGTTGTTTCTTCCAGATTAATTGGGACTAAAATGATTCAACAGCTACAAAATGTATGACAAGCTTATTACCTGATAACTGGGGTACTTTCTGAGGTCTCTACTTTCCATCAGCTTAAATTATATTCAAGTGATTAGTGTAGATGTGAATTAGCAATGTTTAGGACATTTTGCTCACAGGTTTTAAAATCCTGTTTAAAAAAACTTTGAGCTTCGCATCGTATCATTAGTAGATGCAGTGAAGTGGACAATTATTTTGTTAGCGGTGATATCAGTCTGCATTTTGTTATTGGTTGTGTCTGTTGCCTTAGTCTCAAGGGCAACTTCACTGAATTTTTCCGTAACGATATTTCAATTATTCTATCAAGTGTTCTCCAGTACTTTCTAGCTGAATTTCTTCAGTTAGATGGTAACAGAACTTTTGACAACGGTTTCTATCTACATAACGAAGTGGTTAACCCTTTTAAGAATTTGATGCAATTTATCACGACTGGAAATCAAACTTCTATATAGTAATGACTTTAGCAAACATAGAGTCATGGTATTGATTAGTGTATATTTTTCCGAAGTTTAGTTAAATTAGACTTTAGCCTTCATTAACTGTTTTATCTGTAAAACGCACTGAAAATTGTTTAGCCAGTTTATTTTTGTGTATTGGTCCTTAGAAGCGAGAATTTGCCGTGACAGCTGCGATCGTCCCAAGATGTGGAGAATAAAGATTCCATCATAATTGTCAAAATAATTCCAGATAAATGTAAAACCAAATATTAAAGTAAAGTGTAAATAAATGTGCAACTAATTTTTAATACTGAATGATATATGGAATAAAATCATCAGTTCGTACATTACATTTTCTATGAAAAATAAATACATAAATTATTTGGATCAACTCTTACTCCCTTGAGTAATCTTTATATAAAATCAGTTCCAAAGCTGTGCTTATCGAATTATCGAAATTCGATGTACAATACGTTTCTTACAAATGACGTCTGTTTAATGAAAGTAATTTAAACATCAACACTGTTGGATGCCAACTAAGTGGTTTAAAGGTTAAACGTTTGGACGCGAGACCTATAGGTCTGGGGTTCGAATCACGTGAGGTAGGATCGTGGGTGCACACTGTAGAGGAGTTCCACAGTTGGACAAAACGGCCGAGATGACTTATAACATACATAACATGCATAACAAATGTTTATGCAATGAAATGTAGATTATTTTGTTTGTTTTGTATTTAACAACATGTGTTTGTATACTGATCTTATTTCAACAATAAATTAACAATATAAAAATGAATTAATGATAAGCGAAACTCATTGTAAATAACGCCTGTTTGAATCGGCGGGCGGTAACACCATTTACGGAGGGAACTATAAAAAGAGGGTGAATTCTTTGTTTATTTTAAAAAAATACAATGAAGTTGCTTTTTCACTACTGTGATAATTGTGTATATGTGTATTAACTAAATTTTAAAATGTTTATATATTTTGCAACCATTTAACCATGAATAAAATGAGAGTAAAGAACCAAGTATAGATTTAAATGTCATTGTCCCACAATAAGACGAAACGGATGTCCAGTGCTTCTGGGTTTTCCATAGTGGTCTAGCTTCAATTGGTTCAAAATCTCAACTATTGAAATATCTTTGTATTAATAAATATGTTTGATGTAGAAAATATGTTTAAATTTGAAAAAAAAATTCTATGCATACAAGCAAGAATATTTTTATAAAATGTAGATTACACTGACTAGGCTTATTACTTCTACATTTTAACTGTTAAAACATAAACTATGTCTTCTATCACTGACAAAATATGTAAGATAGAATAAAAGTTTTTCTATATTGTTTAAGTGGTAAATAATTAGAGATAAGTGGGATACTAATAATTTATTTGGTTATTTGAAGGAAAGGGAATAAATTTTGTTGATGTTTACAGTTGATTAGTTTGATATTTAAAACATGATTCATATTGTAGGCAAGTGGCTTCACTTAAAAAGTGTTTTTTTCGAATTCATATTTATGTTAAATGTTTGTAGTAGGTAGATAGAAAGTTTTTAATATAGGAAATATTCTAAGACGTTTTTCTATTGAAATTCGCTTCAAAACGCGAAAATTGACAGATTCTTTTTCAGGATATTAGAATTCAAGCCTTTTGGAAGTTTTCTCAAAGTGTTGCCGTCAAGCTATATCAGAGATAAATGCCTTTAAGTGAAAATCTAAAATGTATATTACTCGATCTGTGATTTTCAACATAGTTCTAAGGGATGATCAAATCCTACCGGTACATGTTGCGTTGCAGTAACTAATACCATGAATTTCGCGTCCATTGGAACCTAAATCCATTCAGTGAAATCAGTTTTTGACAACTAACTAAATAAAATCAATGATGGTGATGGAAAACTTTCAAAACACCGTCCGTTCTCCAGTTTCCTGGTGAAAAAAACCAAATGTTTTCATTCAACAGCAAAGTATGAATACCGAGCCAAGTACAGAAGACAAATATGAGCTTTTTATTCATTCTAATCTGTTCACACTATATATGGCTCAGGGTTCAGTCTAGACATATCAGACACAACTGATAAAACAGATCATGATTATTTGAGAAAAAAGTAACAGTTTGAGTTATTCTATGACTGTAATTAACTTCAAGCAGAAAATCTAGGAGTTCTCTGAAGAAGCTCCGATTAGTGGAGTACAACTTTGTCATCTATGAAAAAATTATCATTCAATATTATAAACCAGCTAAACATATTACCATACATCACTGAACGTCAAATTAGTGTTCTGAAATGCAAGTGAAGGTACTATGTTCAGTGTTTAGTGTTGTTGTGTATGAGCACTAATTAAGTCTCTTATATTGGGATGAAACAACTGTTCATTGCTTCACAGCACTTAGTGTTTATTTATCTGAAGTTGAGACGCGGTAAAAACTACAAATAGAACAATTTCCTGAGACGTTCCATATTAACACTATTTGTACTGATTAACTAGTATATTTTAAAATGTTTGCAGCAACATCTAGTTATTATAAATTATTATTATTATATGTTATTATATATTTTATTATATATTTTCGAGGTCGATTGTTTTACTCTTTAATGTTCGTTTACCTAACAACTTGCATTATCATTCTGCCTTTAGCAAGCAGTCATCATTCACCGTATAATTCATTTCTTTTGTAGCTAGAACAGTGGCTTAGGGGTCAAAGCATTCGACTTCAAAACACAAAGTCTCAGGTTCGATTCCCCTCTTCATACTTCAATTTGACCAGACGAGTAATATTATGAACTCCTTACACTTAAAGTGTTTCTCATACCCAATTAATTTCAACTTTGAAATTTTTTCATTCACGTTGACGTTTGATGGAAATACTTACAACACTCTGATAACTATTAACCAAGGAATTTCGAATAATTAAATCAACTATTTTTAAAAATTAAAAAATACGCTAAACATCCAATGTTATCAATGCTGGTGCAGATAAACAGTTATTCTCATCTGTCAACTGAATTTTTAATATCACAGGATATTTGACCGATTCTGACAGATTAATTATTGACTTGGTAACATTCACACTTGATATACGCTTCATTTCAATTCCATTAATTGACAACTATGGTCAAAAGAAAGAACAATTAGAAATCCTACAATGAAATGCTATGTTAATTATCAAACGTAACATTTATATTTAAGAATAGCTCTGTAAACTAATATTATTCTAGCAAATTTGTAGAGCAACTAGAAGTGAAATCCGTCATTAGAGTATGGTAACACTTTGGGCTCATTAGGAGTATGTATTTGCATCCAGTTGTTGATTTTTTACTGGAACTAAAACCTAGTACTCATCGCATTAAACCATAATGTGTTGTCGATTTGTATGAACTAAAATAATTAGAGAATGATATCCAAGAAATATTAGCTAGTAACCGAATAATATATATAAATAGGCGTATTGATTTTCATAAACAACCTCTCAGTGAAAACAAAACTTTGTTCTTTAGTTCTTCAAATAAAAAAGCAAACGTATTATTAATGAAGGGTGTTTGTAAAGAATTTCCATAGTTTAAATTACGGACTGATTTTAGCTATACTACCGTTGAAAGCCTGGAAGCACCAGACTGTCGAATTTTCCTAGTATGAAACTCAGCAGTGCACGTCCACGACTCCATGTCCAAGAATGAAATCTAGGACCTCCGGCCTCACGAAAAACCTCCAGACTACTGAGACGGCTTCCAACAGTTTATGATTTAAACAATAAAAACTTTTCAATCTCAACAAATACCTTTAACTTAATAATAATCATGTGATTACAAGTGACCACTGAACTACGTCGCCTCCAACTGAACTTATGTAAACATTATGCACGTGCAGTCATTTGTTACTAACTGTTTATTAATATCAGTAGATTTTTTATTATTTCATGTCTTTTATTAACACTTACAACATATCCAGTAATAGCAGAAAATGTTGTCTCCTCAGAATCTATTGACTCTGGTTTATCCCATGATATTAACCATGTATTATCCAACGTAACCAAAGTTGCTTTAAGATTTCTTGGGCCATATTTAACTTGTGAATTAAGCACTGATGCTATTGTATTGATTGAGAGTTGTTCATTAGTTTCTGTATACTTGAAATAAAAAACAGTTCTCATCATTTTCCAAATTTAAGTAACGTGCAAAGTCAACTACTTTTCAAACCAATTTAATCATGTTATTATTTATTAAATCATCTCTAAATGATATAATTGTTTTAATTGTACAATTAAAGCTTCAGTTGTAATTTACAAAACAGTCAAATCATGTTGTAGAGCATATTTGAAATTTAACTATAAGAGTTATTCAGAAGAGGGGTGATAATCAGTATTTATCTAGCGGAACGATTCGAAGTAGTCGACATGAAACCCTGCTTAGCCTAAGTTTCGTGTTGTTTAACGCTCGTTAGCAATGCCTACCTTTTATCTAAAGGAAACATGCTCCCTGGAGAATCCGACCACATGTCACAAAGCTTAACAGTTCAAGATGTTACTATCAAGGCCGCGGCTGACTTTCTGTACGATTTTGATTGAGTAGTGACCAATATTATATATATATACCAAGTTCTTCCAGATACTGATCGAGTTCTATCAATAAAACCAGCCAAGGAGCATCATTCATCTCACGATTGCACGTACCCTTTGCCGACGAGTACCAACTAACATGACACCAATAAACAGGGTTTCTTGTCAACTGCCTCTTGTGACTTAATACATATATCTTCTTTATTGAAATTCCAATATTATCTTTGCAGCGGCAATTTATTAGTGACTTTAACCAGAGTCATACTGTTGACGAATCAGCAACACTCTAGAATACCTCAAGGTGCCATTTTGCAGATTCATCATCAAACTATTCCCTCATACTTACCAACATTCTGAACTATGAAGTTCGTTGTCCTTATCTCTTTCTAGTGATTCACTGAACTATGTGAAACGTCTTTAATCTAATGACCGTCCTCAGCTAATGAGAAATATCTGTAAAAAGAGTGATAAATCTAATGTTTTTGGCAAACTATGTTTTCTCTTTTTTGCACTGCCCAAAAATTATTAGACAATAAATTTCCATGACTTTTTTCTAATATTTAAAAGAAACGTTATCTAACGATAAAATTAATTTATAATAAGATAACTGGTGATGTGTCCTTCAATAAGTAAATACGTTAACCGATTCATATTATTAACAAGTAACAGTATAGAAGTGTAGAGATAGTTGCGTTTTAAATAGGATCATGAACCAATCATTGTTGGACCGTCATTAGAAACCTAGAAGAACCTGATGGCAGTTTCACCGTGGTAAGAGACCCCTCAGCAATGCACATTCACGATCCTGCATGCGGATTTCGATTCCAGGACCCCTGGTTTCGAGCGCGAACACCTAGCCTCTAGACCACTGAGCCGACATCCAGTAGTGTGGATGTTTGATTTCAACCAATCCACGATACTGCGCAACCATCTTTCACCGTTGGATTTATCACCACTCGATAAGTCTAGAAACCAAATAAAAATTGAGGTGGTACCGACTTTTATTAGTAGTGAGCTAACTCAATAGAGCATATGTTAGTAGTCGGACCAGACACATAGTGAGAAGATGTGTAAAGTGTGCTTAGAATATCCACTCAATGTTTACTGGAGTAATGTATTATTGATTTGCTGTGTTGACAACTGATAAGAGAAAGGATAAAGATTGATAACGGATATGCAATTAATCACCCATTTATGGGCGAATGTATAATTAATTCACTGACTGAATTACAGTAAGGGGTAAAGGGAATTACACTCACCATCTTTTGACCCTATTCTATTTGTGTCTGACATAACACGTTATGTGTATACAAGAGTTGTGAAGTTAGGGTGCTTATGAGGCAGCTAGGAGATCGATAACTCAAGTGTTCAGAGTGTAAGGAAAATCACGTTTTTATTAAGTTTTTGACTATCACATCATCAAAAATAAAATCTGCATAGACTTACACAGTCTTTCAAACTGAATGATTAGTGACTTTATCATACAGTTGGTTAGTGTAACAGATAGAATTATCTCTGAATTAAAGGTTTCTGATTTTATTCATCAATATCAAAAATGACATCGAAGTGGAAGTGTCCGGTTATCTAGAATATTTCATTTGTTATTGAGTTTCCTTGAACGGAGCACGTGAATTTGAACTGACACAATACTTGAACTAAAATTATGTTCTAGTATATTTTAATAAATATCTAATGCGTATTACATGAAGACTGAGGAATTAACAAATTATTTAGTACTTAATCACCAATTAATTTATGTAAACTATGTCGACGAAGTATCCGGAGTGTTGATTTAAAATATCATCGGTGTTCGTTTACAAAAATATCATTTCCCAAACTGACAAATTCATACGGTTTTAACAGGTTATCATCAACGAATACACAGTAGAATAAAAAGCAAACTGGAGAAATGAACTAATATTAAGTTTTATTAGTTTTATCCCTTACGGAATTTGAATACTTTTTTAAATACTAATGAATGATACATAATGGGTTAGGTACGTGTTCGTGATTTTTTTCAGTGTCCGATCTGTATATAGTATTGAGGATTTTCGTGCATTTTCAGTTAATTAAATAGATGTATGCTGCATGAAAGGGCATAATTTTCACTAATGATTTCACTTCAACCACTAACATTCACCTTATTTGCTTTTTCCATCCGATTAGTTGGAATGCGCTATAGCGACTTATTCATGATAGACATCTGAATGACTTTAGATGGTTGAAAAGAAATCCTTAATGAAAATGATGCTTTTATTTAGAGTACAAACCCAATAAATGAAAGAGAAAAATACTTAGAGATGGCGGATGTTTCACTTTTGTTGAACTTTGAGAAAAGGATTGTTATCTTCACACCACCTAAACTATTTGCCTAAATTTCATAAGAATTACGTTTAAAATCCATATAGACTGGTTGTTTGGATATTCCAATTGGTCTTTAGGACTGCAAATGACCAGTCTCCTTTGACATACGTGCATCCTGTGTGCATTATCGATCAATATATATGAAATAAAATCCATCTAGTTGCACAAGCTAGTAGCTATCTGGACTAATATAGCAGTTAAATGGGTACGTGATGGTAGTTGGAGCGAACGGCACTAGATTCGAGTATCGGAGTGCACGTCAACTCAAGGATGCAGATACACTCGTCTGACGAGCATCAACTTGGACAAAAAGTATGTCCTGGATTCCACTGCTAGCTACCACCCATCTCTGCTTACATTTAAAACGTTTCTACATTTGAATATTTGTGATCGTTGAAATATAATAGAAATATCAAATGTATTTTACAGTTTAAACCAATAATTTATCTAAGACAAACCAGTAAGCAATAACATAAGTGTTCCACCATGGTGTGAGACTCTCCGACAGTACGCACTTACAATCATATCAGAGATCAGACCCATGACATTCATGCACCTCTTTGACAGCTTAATCTTTGGTCCACTGAGTTGACAAACGATGGTTTATATTTCTTCAGTTACTTCATCAAATACCTTTGTTGACAAACTAGATTAAATAATGAATCTAATCACTGGAATTATGCTATGATTTATAAAAATGAATAATTTTCAACTTTCTGTTCATAAACAATTTCCAATTACTTTATCACTAAATAATTTAAGATAACTATTATTCTGTGACCGAGTATCTTCCTGATTTTCAGTATCATCTGACATAGTTCGTTGTTGAACTGGAAATTGTCCTTGTCTTTTTCGTTGAGGATGATTACAATGATGATGAAATGGGTCATCTAGTAAAGATTCACCTTCCGTTGCAGTAATGTTTTCAGTAAATTTATTGAGCATCAACTGTTCACTTAGATAAAATACAAGTGTTTGTACTTGAGCAATCTACATAATTTTAAATGAGTAAAATGGATGGAGGAAATATTTCGAATGACATTTAATAAATGAATTAATGAAAGGACACAAATAGAATATATATATATATATATATATATATATATAAACAAATATTAATTTCAAGGGGTATTTCATACACCGACTGATTATTATTTCGAAAATATCTTTCAAATGAGTTGCTTTACAAGTATTGTATACCAGGTTTACGAAAGTGCTATAGGTGGATAACTCCCGTCACACGACACGGCTGAACACCACGGGTCACTTCACTCGAAATCCGGAAGGTACCTCTTGGATGGATGTTCTTTCTGTGCATAAGATTCCTGTATATTGCTGGTCATAAATGTATTGTAGGTTTGCCTGTAATCAAGGAACTATTGTTATATTCACAGGAGGAATTATTTAATGGTGTGTTCTTTACAGCTGTTCTACTCCTTGTAATTATTTTTACATTAGTAAATCCAAAATGAACTGGATTCGTACATTCATTTATTTGATACTTTTTTTAAAATTCTTTCAAAGAGTACCTGATGAAAGCGAAATGATTGTATTCATTACTTCAAAGTTGTCAATGGGACACTAGCTTTGATTGGTCAATTATCAATGGTATCTGGACATTAATAAAGACACATGTTCAACCAGTTGACATTTTCTAAGATTTGTCTACGTGCATTGCTATAAGGTTTTATCATACTTTCAAATGTCAAATAACGAGTTGATCTTAGCTGAACCAAATGCCTGGAAGCAGTAGGCGGGTAATTCATTCGCGTATGAGTTTCCTCAGCTGTGTTCATTTACTGCCACCTATTCGAGAATAAAACTCAGGACCTTTGGTCTCTCGTTCAAACATTTAATCTACAGACCATTGAACAAAAATTCCGACTATGTACATCACTAACATCAGTCAATTCACGATTTTCTCACTGGATACCAGTTTAGGAAGAACTTTTTAAATCATAGAGAGAAGTTCTTGGAGTGAATTATTTATCATTTATGACAATATATACCGGTTGCACAATAATAAAAGCTGACCGAAGTACGAAATTCAAACCGTTTTACGTTTATACAGTGGTCTAACTTTGTATAGAGTAAGAACAAAGATCCTAGCAGAATAGCATGAATTCATTTTATTTCGTTGGTTCTCGTCAGCTGCTTACAACCTCTAGTATTTAAAATCACAATTACATAAATGGTTTACATTACTTATACGAGAGGGTTTGGTTGGAAGTTATAATGATTACATATTCGAATTGTATAGCAAGGGTGTAAATCAATGTAATAGACTGAATATTGTAAATATATACCTTATGTAAAAGAACACTCTGCAACATTGATTGTGACAACAGTTCAAACGACAAGAAACAAGTGATTACATAATGAGTAAACGCTGATAGGAACAAAATTGGTAAAGCTCAGCGAATAAAATAAGATTATTAATGTGGAAGACAATCCAAATAAAAGCACAATGATGTAATAAATGCAAGATAGAGTTAAATAGAGGTTTTAAGATGCAATGAAGGAATATTTGTCATCAAGGCAAGGAAAGATTAATAACCATCTCCTTTTGAACACATAAATCAGTTTCTGATGTCGGAGAACAACGGCTTCAGCAAACTCCAGAAGACTGGAGTTTGGCTGCTTACTGATCACCTTGAATGATTGCAGGGTATCGATCCGACGTCCTGTACCAAAGAGATGTTTGGTGATTACACTGTTTATAGTCTTAGAGTCTTGTTCTGAGGCTTGTTAGAACATGTTCGAAAAATCTAAGATATGGCCTCCTTTCTGTTCGGCAAATGTAGCTGCTTTGGAAGATACACGTAAATCTGCAAACTTAGTTGGCGGTAATATGTAATAATTGCTTGCCGTTCTTTGACCAGGTTATTGAACATGTTGTTTCAAACAGAAATAATAGTTTGGCTACTAGGTAACTTTTATATAATGCAGTGTTAAGACTCCTGTTGATTGTGCTTGCGTGTTGTGAAAAGCTGACGAGAACTAAACCAAATTAAATGAATTCATGCTATTCTGCTAGAATCTTTGTTCTAATTCCCTTCAAAATGATAAAGGGAACTATGTGTATGAAATTTCTCAAATAATGGTGATTTGTTAATTGAATAACTGAGTTGTGAGCCTTTACTTATAAAGAATTATGAAACAAAATCCAAGACAAAACAACTATTAATGGTTATCGTGATTTTATCATTTGCCCGAATGAATTTAGTCTAGAATGCAAGTTATCATCAAATGGGAACATTTTCCACAAAAACTCCATTCTTATATTTTATTAAAATCCTTAGGTTGTATTTTTCATTCACAAGGATCGTCAATCAAGTATATTCACTAATAAAGAAATTTAATTACAAATAAACTTACGTCTTTCTGTTGTTCTAAAATAATATTCTCCCTCTTTAAATTGTTCATTTTTAAATTATCTTCCATATTCATATCTAATGTATCCGTACTCACTGATTTAACTTGTCGGAGTGAAATAGGATTTTGTATTCTGTGTATGTGGAAATAGTTATAAAACCGATAGCTGATCAATTATGGATTAGTTATTTGTATAGATTGATTACAGTGAATAAACATTTTTTTTAATCTCAGAAACATTATTTGTTTATTGAAAACTAAATGTTCCTGAAGTTATTATGGTTACAAAAGTATGTATTTAGCACAAAATTAATCCAGTTACTCCATTTAACGTTTATTCATTTAGAAAGGTCAGATCTCACAGTTATTGTTGGGGAAATCCAGTAAACACCTCAACAAAAGCCAAAAAATGCTCTGAAAACGCTGAGAAGCATCTTACTCAATCAGCATTCAATAGACGTTTTGCCAGAAACATCTAGAAAGTGAAAAGTTACATGTCGCGTTTCTGATTGGATGATTACCTATAATGCTGCTATATTTCAGAAATTTTCGGAAGCCCATAGCCATCCTAAATACTATGATTACCCTAGATTTTCTGTTCATAAACGAACCTCTAAAGTTTCTTTCATATTTCGCGCCTTTTCTCTTGTGTTCATGTCGCTGTGCAGATTTAGCTAGGGGGTTACCATAAGAGCTTATGAATCCGAACCTATGCTTCAATTAGAAGAATTATAAGTTATAGTTGTGTATTATAGTGTGAAAAAAAGACAGTTAGATGTTGAAGAAAACCATTTATTATTTATTGATCCAGTCTCTTCAAATATCAAAGTATATAAGTCCCAATCGATCAAAAACTTACAGTCAGTTAGCTGTTCATTAGTTACTTCATTTTATGGAAAAATCGTCTCAGTTAATTACATAATTAAGGTGATAAATGTGGATACGATGTGGTCTGAATTTTTATTCCTATAATCACGTCACATGGGAAAAAAACTGAAAAAATATCGGTATTTGTGAACACTTATCTGACCTCCTGTTGTTCAAATTAGAAATTTTGCAGGCGGGGTTATTTCCAGTGCCCACTAATTGAGTGAAATATTTTCACTTACATAATTGATTTTTGCGTTATTGGTAAAATAAACAATATAAAAGAAAGTGAATGTTTTTGTACAAATGAATTCCATGAGATTTTCTTGAGATTTCATTAACTAGCAATATATGTGGCATATATGACATGCCTGACACTCTAGAAAAGAGAAATTAAACTATTAAGCGTTTAGCTATGTAATGTTAATGGTTATAAAAATAGCCTCTTGACATAAGGGGCATATATAGGTCATATGTTTTTTAATACAATATGCTTCGGAAATTTTGTTGATTTGTTGATAACCGTTGTTTGAACTAAGCATTTAATTTTGCGAATATTTGCCTAGTCGTAACAGGTAGAAATTCAACAAACTTCCACAAGAGATAAACTAGTAAGACTGATATCTATTTGAACTAACAATTATTGCAACACTAATAATACTCTGACATTCAACTTGATACTATTCACCTAGTTTATATATAGTCAGTTAACGGTGTAAAATCTAACTTCTACTCTGATTTTTATATTTAAATATTTTCCCCAAATCGGTATGTCAGATTCCTGATAAAACAGTATCTTAATGCAATGCACATCATGTCATTTAATGACTGATTTTCTCTATTAAAGAAGAAAATAAGCGAATAGCACTATTGAAGAGTCTAGGCTTCGTACAATAAGCAAAAGTTCACTTAATATTAGTGAGAAGTGAAGCAATAAACTCACTAGCGGACTTAACATTGTTGATGTTATTGCATCTATAATTCATGCTACTATAAAAAGTATAATGACAGATTATGGTTACTTGATAGAGGTAAAATCTAGATTAAATATCATTTAACCTAGGATATTTCATAATTAATCCATGTATAATAATTCATTTTTAGTATCATAAAATAAAACATACTTCTAAACTTAACATACGAAACAAATCATCTACATACTATTATTGTCTCATAATAGAAATTGCGATGTAACGTCAAAATTAAATTAGCCGGTATCATTGTTAAATGTTAACAATAAATAATAATTAACATTGATTATTTAATAGAATATTCAAATATAACTTGATGGAAATGGGATGAGAAAACTTAAAATTACAACTAATTTACAATGTATATGTAGCTAGTATTATGTGAATAAATTACGTTATAGGTACTTATAAAGACATCACCACTGAGACATTATACTATATTAAATTGATGCCAATATAAAACAGTAATGGAAATGAATTAGTAAACTCTTTATGGATACTTCAGGTAGGTAAGTAATTTCGAAAATTCATATATTATGCTCAGATTGTTTTTGTGTCGTTTCCTCATGAATCAAAATGAGGAAACGCTATTATTGTACTAGCAAATTTCCTATTTAGTCCCACTATGTAAAACAACAAAAGAAACCACATATAACAATAAAATTAAAGTCAAAATAATTGTTTGTTTGTTTATTTGTCTACTTATTACAATGAAATAACGATATGTATATTTGGACGTAAGATATTTAATAAAAATATTGTTGTCTTTGTTTTCTCATCGAAGCAAAATTTAGTTTGTAAGTCATGCACTAATTGAATTCATGTAGATGAGATAGATTTTTCAATTATCATCCTTTCTGGGTTGTTTTTTTTAGCATTAATTTAATTATTCATAACTAAAAGTTAAACGTTCATGCGTGGAACAAAAGGTCATAAGTTCGTTTCCTAAGTTTAGGGCTATGAATATGGATAAATGAGGAGTCCCTAACAAGAACTATTATTAGACTATTATTAGATCTCTAGCTAAGATCAGTTTAAACTATAAAGCTTCTACAGTTTCTACAAGTCCTTCTCCAGTAATATTTACTACGGTTAGAAACGAGGCTAAGGAAATAAAATTATCCAAACTCACAGTGTTTTACAGGTTTCTAATCATAAACTGATCTTGGTAATATCACTGTTTTAAACCATCCTGCACTGAGCACCTACTTCTTTAGTCTATGATTCCTAAACAGAGCACACACCCAACCCCACTACAAGGGGCGAACCCAGGAACTTCACTCTCTTGCGTAAACGCCTAACTTTCAAACCACTGAAGTGGCATCCACTGGTGTACATATCTGATTTCAATCAGTTCGTGATACAGTGCTATCATTTTCCTTTGCAAAGGGTGGTTAACTGCATAAAATCTGATATGGTTGATGACTGTTCACACCTTCTCTCTAGAACTCCAGGAATAAAATCTTGATGCTAGATGATAACAAGCACCAATCCACGACAGAAAGAAACAAAGTTGTATATCTAGATAGAAGAGTCATCATTAAATATTGAAGTAAGAATACTCGACCTTGACAAATAGCATATATACCAACGAAATGAAGGGACCCTATTACAACTAATATCTAACATATAGTGATACTTTTATGATTATCAGTACCCAAAAAGATGAAATTGCAATAAAAAATTGCTCAGCCTTCATCTTAAATGTTCAGGTTATCGTAAATATCCAGACAGCCACCGGCTTAAAGGGAAAGTTGCCACTTATGAGTAGTGTTGATGTCATGTTTCTCTTTTAGTATCGTCAAGTATTGATTGGATTTTATTGATCAAGCTACAAAGCAGTTACCAATCCAAGTGCTTAACACTTAATTAAAGTACTATCTTCTTTATGTTCAGATAAGTGAAAAAAGAATTTGTAGAAATAATATTTTGTTATATCTCTGAGTGTAATTTCAGTTTATACACACCTCTTATAATGGTTTGATCTAAATATCATTGTAACTGGTGTTTTTATAAGTGGATTCAGTAATTATTAAACTTACACTACATATTGGTAACACAGTTCACAAGAAATGTATTCCTTTATAGAAAATTCGTTAAACCAAGAAAAACACATCAAATCCTTCGTTTCGTGTCACCCTCATATTGAGACATTCAAAAAGTATTTAAATTTCTAATTGATGATAGATTTATGTAAAGCATATTTACTGGGAAAATGGTGTTTTTCATGTTTTCTGAAGTGGAATCATTGTCGTCAACGCAACAGTAAACCAATATGTCAAATTTTGAATGGATTTAAACTGTATGTTCAGATTACTTGTGTTACTTCTCACTAACACTGATTACCTCGGACAAAAAAGTAACCTAGAAGGGTCTCAAATATGGAACTCATCAGTTGAGAGCTCATCACGAGATATCTAGTTTTAGTGTTAGCGTTAAGTAGATATTAGTAACAAAAAACATAACGGAAACCTTTATCTACAATTAAACCCAAAAAATATATAGTGTTACTTTATGGAAACATATCGCTAAATGAATCAGTATTTTCTTAAGTTTTGAAATTAAAATTAAAATTAATTCAATGCAAGAATGATTCTTGCATTGGATTAATTTTAATTTGGTTATTTATTCTCTGAAGAAGTGATTTACACTAAGTCACGAAACGTCAGAAGATCTAATTTTCTACTCGTTGGGATATTACAAATATATTATTTTTATTTATAACAATAAACGCAATGCTCAATTTATTCGAAATTATCAAATCAAACCTTGGTAATGATACCCATATACTATTTATAATTAGTTAGTAGTTTGAGTTCTGTTTCGTCATTAATATGTCATCAGCATATGCCACTGATAGCAGCAACGTACTGCTTAACCTCTTATATTCAAGTTTCTTCTTACCACTCTTCGTGAAGCACCATTAGTTTTATTCTGATTACCTGATCTGTTTCCCAGGTGTACCATTCTTTGGAACTTTTGATCAAAACTTACTTTACCTACATTAGTCGTTGATATTTCAACTTTTCACGGCAATGTTCTACTTTTAATATGTGAGTAAATGTTGAGGTTTCATGCCTAGTTACCTTTGTAAAGATACAAAATTTTTCTGAGTCGTTTTGATGGTCCACCTCCCGCTTGAATACAATCCAACCGTTGTAGATTCACGATGTCTATGTTGTTTTCAAGAATAGTGACATATTTCCTGCCATGGTTTCTAGATTTTATGCTGTACTGGGTCAGCAGCGAAGATATTACTGCTTAAAATTACCAACACTGTAATAATACGCAGAAA